AGGCTAGATACATTAGCTACAGGAAATGCAGCATTGTAGGGAGATGGGTCTGCGTGGGATGCTTTTTGAAGATTGGGGAAGAGTTGATGGGCAGAGTGACCTGCTTCCACAGTGTAGGGGGTTCTATTATTCAGGTATCACTCCTTTCTGCACTTGTTCCAGGGGTCGAAAATCCATGGATCAAGTAGTAGACATCAGTCTTGTGTAATATTGCAAAGTCAGCGGGCTGCATGCCGGCTTGTTATTCAATGCAATGGAACTGCATACTAAGGGACAAGCATAACTGGCTAGTTGTACAATATCTCCCAATTTGCCTTGCACCCAAGGCAGATTGTCACTGTGTGACCAAGGTTCTCTATAAATTGAAGATTCAAGCCTATAGGCCCACTGCTGGCAAGTGGAATTAGTATAGATTTACTGTACCTTGGGAGGTACAGACTCAATGGGCTGAAGGGCCTCTTCTGTGCTGAATGATTCAATAAGATTACCACATAAAAGAACATCAATTTACTACTTGGACTCTTTATTCAGCCTGTTTTGTTTGGTATTTCTGCATCCGTAGTGCTGGAGTTTTAGTTTTCTAACCCACTTGCCTTTCAAGGAATAACTCACTTTCTTACATTAACCAACTCTTTCTTTACAAGGCTGGACAATTCCAGCCTGGGAATCCTATTCTGTCTTCCTTGCTGCATGACCCATGCTATTTCCCGGTTATTGCCGATTTGAAGGCAATCAATCTCCTTTGGGACTGGTTACCTTAGCCTGAGTTAAAGGTGGGGCCAGAAAGGCGTCAAGCTTCAGGACTCATGATGGCATCAGTTCTCAGCTAGCTGTGCTAAAGGCCATCTATGGATGAGCAGATTTGCAAAATCCTCAGACGTATGTCTTGGACACACAAGTGGTTAAGAGACCTGCTTGTGCCCTGCCCTCCTCCTTCTGCAGTGAAATATCTTGCACCAAATTTTGGCATCAACTATTCAGCCCCCATGTTTACATCCTAGTGACAATATCGACTGCAACATAATTGTTGTGCCTTGCTACTTGAACTGTGAATTTGATAGACCGATTTTGTCTCTGAAGCACGTAGGAACTAATTGAGTTTGTACTGAAATTGTCTTTCCTTTTTGGTTGCTACGGGGGACCTTCTGGTTGTCAGTGACCTAACCATTACACTATATGCCACCTGTAATTATAAGGTTAATTATACCTGAGCTGGCAGTATTCCTTGCCTGTCGTCAAGAAGACTGTGAGTTCAATTGTCACAGTAAGTGACCTGAATACAAAGTTCAAGGTTGACAGTGTAATGACAAGAGATTTCTGCACTATTGGAAATACCATCTTTAGATGACAAAATTCAATGAGATCTTGGCTTCTTTCTGTTGCTCTGAATAGCAAGTCTTTATTTTTATGCCCTTACTTTCTTCCTGAGAATGTTTTGGGACACCCTGGGTGATGAAAATCTCTATACGAATGCAGGTTCTTTCTTTATTTTTTAACTATCTGAAGTTCAACTAGAACTTAGTCCTGACATGAGGACATTCAATGGATGTAATGTATATTCTCTCCTATCATGGTCAAACATGTTTATTGAGCATTGTTGAGATTGTAGCCCCTAGTCCTCTGCCTGGAGGCAGGATCCTTTTGCAGAAGCTCAGCAACATGCTAAGATATTTTGCAATGTATAAAGCAGGGAGGCAGACCCCAAGTCTACTTCAGTCAGAATGGAGGATGGAATTTGTGCTGTTGCTGTCAATCTGATCTACAAGGTAGCCAAGTGAATAAAGAGGGCCTCCCACTTCTTGTCAGAATTATTACTTAAAAAGTGAAGCATTCATCAAGTAAGGTGAAGACTTCTTTTGTCTGATCTATAATAAGTTGGTACAAGCTAAAGATCTAAGGATGATGTTGTACCTTTCCCATTGGCTTTTAGGCTGTCATAGAGCCATACAACAGACCCTTCAGTCCAACCAGTCCATGCAGACCATAATCCCAAACTAAACAATCCCACTTGTCTATGCTTGTCCCATATCCCTCCAAACCTTTCTTATTCATATATTATCTAAATGTCTTTTAAACATTGTAACGATAGGTGTATCTACTACTTCATTTGGAAGCTGATTCCACACATGGACTTTGTGTAAAAAAGCTTGCCCCTCATGTCCTTTTTAAAACTTTCTCCTCTCACCATAAAAATATTCCCCCTAGTTTTGAACTCCTCCACCTTAGGGAAAAGACCCTTGTCATTCACCTTATCTATGCCTTTCATGATTTTATAAACCTCAATAAGGTCACCTTCAACCTCCTACACTCCAGTGAAAAAAGTCCCAGTCTTTCCAGTCTATTTTTATATCTCATTCCTGGCAATGTACTGGTAAATCTTTTCTGAGCCCTCTGCAGCTTGATAATATCCTTTTTATACAGAGCGACCAGAACAAGCCTCACCAATGTCCCCTACAACCGAAATGTGACTTCCCAATTCCCATATTGTCATCATACATAATGCCTGAAGTCATAAATAAATAATCTATTTGCTTAGAAACTTTGAGACTTATTGCAGAGTAATATATTTTGTTTCAGAATTTAAATGCGACAGTTCAAATGCTTTGATTTTGAGCTGCCCATCTCCCTAGTCAAATGTCACCTCTAACACTTAAACTGGGAAACACAGCTTTCATAGAATCGTAGAATAATAGAGCACAGAAGGCTATTTGGCCCATTCTGTCTGTGTTGGCTCTATGGCAGAGCAGTCTAACTAGCCCGACTACCCTGCTCTTTCCCTTAAAAGCATCCTTTTCAAATTTTCATCCAGTTTCTTTCTGAATGATCTGATTGAACTTAGTCCAGCAGCTTTTTGAGGCAGCACCTTATTAATCACAATAAATCACTGTGTGAACAAATGTTGCCCCCTTGTCATCACCGCTTCTTGTGCCAGAAATGTGGAAACACAGAAGCTAAGAGCAGGAGCAGGCCATTCTGCCCTTTGAACCTGCTCTGCTATTCAATTTGCATCAGCCTTACCCTGAACATGATATTTTTGCTTTCTCCCATACCCCTGGAAGCCACAGAGTCATACAGCACGGAAACAGACCCTTTGGTCCAGCCGGTCCATGCTGACCATAATCCCAAACTAAACTAGGCCCACCTGCCTGCTCCTGGCCCATATCCCTCCAAACACTTCTTATTCATCTACTTATCCAAACGTATTTTAAATGTTGTAACTGAACCTGCATCCACCACTTCCTCTGGAAATACATTCCACACACAAGCCACTCTCTGGGTAAAATTATTGCCCCTCATGTCTTTTTTAAATCTTTTTCCTCTCACCTTAAAAATATGTCCCTTAGTCCTCAAATCCCCCACCCTAGGGAAAAGGCACCCGCCATTCACCTTATCTATAACCCCTCATGATTTTATAAACCTCTATAAGGTCATTTCCTACTCTCCAATGGAAAAATGTCCCAGCCTATCCAGCCTCTCCTTATAACTCAAAATGTCAATTCCCAGCAAAATACTGGTAAATCCTTTCTGAACCCTCCCCAGCTTATTAATGTCCTTCCTGTAACAGGGAGACCAGAACTGTATACAGTATTCCAGAAGAGGCCTCACCAACATCCTGTACAACCTCAACATAACATTCCAACTCTTATACTCAAAGGTCTTAGCAATGAAGGCAAGTGTGTTAAATGACTTCTTAACCACCCTATCTATATGTGATGCAAACTTCAAACAATTATGAACCTGAACCTCTAGGTTTGTCTGTTCTACAATACCACAGGTCTAAAAATTTACTTATCTCATCCAATGACTTGTCCTCTACAACCTTCTGTGGTAGAGATAGGTTTCACCATCCTTTGAGTGAAGAAACTATTTGGGTTGGGGCAGAAGTGAGTAATGGAGTGCATGTTGGATTTTAAGGCATTTCTGGATTGGACAGGGCATCACAATCGTACATAGTCTATGCAATGTACAGAGACAAGGTAGTCATGGAATTGTTATCTCATGGGTGGGAACTGAAATCTTCTTGATGTTGTGCTGAAGGGAGTGATGACTACCTGTTGCGTGATGCAGGTCATTATAATAGTAGGGAGATAGCTTTAATGTCCAGAGAAATGGTGGGAGCTGGAACTGGTAGTTCCTTACTAAGGTTGACCCTGTATTTGTCGATGGTGACACTGAGGGGCACTGTAGGTGAGGGAGAGAGCTGAGGATTTTTGGTCAACTCCTGAGGTGATGACATGCAGGAGAGGGAAAAGGAGACTGGTGCCATCACCATTTGTCTATTCAGAAAACATTCCTCCATCCAGCTTACAAATTTTCACTGGTACCCATTCTTTCCACTAAAGAGCAACAGTAACCTATGTGTATATAATGCTTTAAACATTGTAAAAACTCTCAAGGCATTTCATAAGAGCATTATGGGAAAAAGATAAAGGTTGAGCGAACCAGAGACCTTAGGACTGAAAGTTGAAAGTTTGATCAAAGAGGTAGGTTTACCAAAGAGGTTGGAAAGAGGTGGAATAGGCTCAAGGAGCTGAATGGTCTGTTCCTGTGTTCCAATATCTTAAAGGCTGTGAGTGAAGGGGACAGCAGGAAACGTGTAGGAAGTGAATTCCTTACAACTGTGTTGCCGATAAAGAAGCAGTTGGGAAACGAGTGGTCGGAATTGCAGGAATTCAGAGATTTTGGAGGATGAAAGGAATAAGGAAGGTGAGGAGTGAGGCAATGAAGAGATGGTAAACTGAATCAGGCATTTCAGTATTCCTCCATCCCCTCAACTTTTATCGCTCCGGTGAGGATTCAATGAGTAACCTTATTTCATTAAACACTGTCTCGGCTAACATTGTTATGAATTGGAAACAATGGAGTTTAATACAATCTAGTATAATCACAAGAGTACCCTGATGGCACTGGACTGAGTTCCAAAAGCAGCTCACCGGCCCTATTATTCATAGGCATTGCATCTGTGTAAAATTGCATTTCTTTAGCACCCAGTTTCCTACCTTCGCAGTGACGCACTCCGTCTCCTGTGAAGCCTGAATTACAGTAGCATCCGAGTTTCCCACCCATCATTTTGCAGGTGGCATTCTTGTTGCACACGTTGTTGTTGCAGTTCTTGTCACTGTCATGGTGGGAGCTTGGTGACAGAGAGCACAGATCCAGCAGACTGGACAACCACACTGTGGACAAAAACAACATGATAGGTGAAGGACGCTAAACCCAACATCAAAGGGTCCAATTCAAATGGCTGTCAATGTGGTGACTGTATCTCTTCATTGTCTCTTGAAGCGTGGGACACATTTGTAAACTGTTTTCACCTCTACTTCAAAGATCCACTCGAATTGTGTGTGCCAGTCAGAATAACGTAGCTCGTTAGGAGGCCATTCAGTCTACTCAATGGGTGGAATGTTACTATCTCTGCTGTGGCATGAGTAATTGTGCAATAGGAGGAAAATAGGAAAAGAATGAATTCTCCAATTCGCACTGTTGAGAAATATTTTTCTGATGTTTCCCACTCAAGCCTTAAAGGGTGACTATATAAACTCACTACTGAGTGGTGACTGCCTCATTTCTAAGAAAATTTTTAGGAAGTGAAGCTGCTTTTCACTTGTACCTCCTCCAGCCTTGTGTATTGTATTCACTGCACCCAATGTGGCCTACTCTACCCTCTGACAGAAGAGGTGCTCAAATTCCTGACAAGTAAATCCGAGTAGGTACTCTCCTTTACAAAATGCAGACTGGGCGACCGTTTTATAGAATATTTCCTGTCTGTGCGCAAGCATGAGCCTAACCTTCTCGTAGCAAGTTATTTTAACGCAGCGTCCTGCTCACATACCCACCTGGCATGCTGTAGTGCTCCAAGCGAATCCCAGTGCAAACTGGAGGAACAACATCTCATCTCCAGACTCTCCAGCCTCTCTGCTCCTATGATGCTGCTTGGCCTGCTGTGTTCATCCAGCCCTGCACCTTGTTGTCTCATCTCCAGACTAGGCACTTTACAACCTTCTGGTCTTAATACTGAGTTCAACACCTTCAGATTGTAAACCCACTCCCATTCCTTCCCTTTATTTAAGCTTTAATGGTTACATTCTCTGTCACCATGTCCTCTCTCCCCTCACCACCAACAGGAATGGTGAGTGTAGGTAGGGAGTTAGGAAGGGGATAGGTCAGTCCAGGGA